TATCAGTAAATGTGTTTCTCTGGCTTTCTTACTGTACATTCCCTGTTTTGCATTGACACACATCCCTTTCTTTCTTTCATATACACATTATTATTATATAAAACATTCAAGCAATTAAAGACATTTCCAAAAGAATTGCCTTCCACAAAAACAAAGAGTGGCGGCAATAAACAAATATATATTATTGGTTCATTATGAAGGAACACCTTCACCATTAATACGTCAAAATAAGTTGATTAGTCCACTAATGTGTCTTGTGTGGTAATTTAATTGAGTAAAATAATGATAGCAATACACAGATGTTTAAAACTAAAGGCATAGCAGCCAGCCCACTCTCCTACATATCACTTCAACCTATCTTTTTCTCTTTTTCTATATGTCTTCGCTTTACGTTGAGTCCTCTCCAGTTTAGTTTGAAGTGTATAACATATGTTCCAGTCTAGCAGACAAACTCCCACAGGGAGAGCGGACTGGAGAGGAAGCTTTCAGCCTCTGCGTTCTGTGAAAGCCAATGCAAACTGTTAGATATAAAGTGAAGCATCATGGGACCACACAGCAAAAGTTTTAAAGTTCAGCTTCCTCACCAACCAACAGTGTTAAACATGATTCTACCAACAGGAAGGAAAGTCTACCCAATTGAGTGGTGAGGACACAACACAACACAAGTTCACTTTAACACCTGGCTCCCTTCCTGAGGGCTTGCTTCAGGATGCTCCCCTCACTGATACTTGGCTGGATGATTGACAAGACGACAGAATGGCTGGTTGTCCTCTCAACGAATGACCATCCGTCTGTCTGAATGGGAAGGTATTTAATTGGCTGGCTGTTGGGGCTGCTGACTGGAGGATTGATTGACTGGCTGACATTCTGAGAGACTGAAAGGCCAGCTTATCTTTGTGCTGTCTGACTGATGACAGATCCCCTGGATGGTCGGTTGGATTTCTGAATCACTGGCTGACCGCTTGACTGGTTCACTGACAAACTGGACACATCTGTAGGGTGTCATGTTCCTCAGCACTTCTCTATATCTGTACTGTCTGTTTCTCTCTCCTGTCTATTGTTCTGTCTCACTCAGTTGAAAGGTTCATGGCTTGGTCCCTTAGGGAGCTGAGCTACTCTTGTCTTCCTTGTTGTTGTACTCTCCTCAAGACTCGTAGAACTGAAAGGACGGCAACAACCTATCCCCACTTTAACCTTAATCAAAACATCACATCCTTATAATCTCTACATAGACATTACATGCTTAGGCTTTTATCCAAAGTGACATTCATACACTTGCATGCCTCCAGGCCAATTGGTAGATGCCCGTTGATCCGTTGAACCACGGTCACCAATCGTTTAAATCATCGCATCTGGGGACCAATCATTTGTCCCCAGGTTAAAACCTCTGCATTTGCTTGATTCATAATTACATCCATTATCTCTTTGTCCACTTTTAGGCAAACGCTGTAATTCCACATGTTCATTTAGTCACTCTTTTGCACTGTTTACATTACATTAACATACTGCCTCTCGAAGCTTAATGAAGTTGTTAATTTTCTGTTGGATTGGGCTGTCAATCAGGCCCATAATAGCCGTGTTGTGAATGTAACGGGTGGAAGGAGTTCAGGTAATATGGATTAGAAAAGAAAGGTGGCGATGAGCAAGCAAGTGATCATGTCACCTATCTGTCTCAACAAAGGTGTGCACGTCTTTATGTCAGTCAATCACTCCTGTCCTACGGATTTACATTTCAAATTTGAGCAGAAATCATCATTTCTGGTTCATTCAACCTAATACCAATTGGTCCTACGCATCCGTCAAGAACTTCAAAGAGTCATAATATTAATATTTCTTTAGCCCTAACCATCGGTGAAAATTAAAAGAAAGACAAACAACTATGATGTTCATTGGACTTTCTGACACTTCAATGAAACAGTGCCTGGAGGTTGTTGGCATTACGTTATGAGTATTATATTGTAGTTTTGTGCAAGTAAATGTGTCTATTCCTACATGGATCCTATTTTCTAACATATAATGCCATTTTAATGTAAAAACCCTTATTATGGATGTATCCTGAATTATTATATGAATGCAGCTCTTCTGTCATCCAGTGTTAGAATGTAAGGAAATACATGTATTCATAAAACCCTGTGTGTGTCCCTCTGATCTGTTAAATCCTACTGATTTTCCAATGAGGACAAACACAGAGTATATTTTCACAGAGGCCCTCAGATCCTCCGGAGCTTACTTTGGGAACTTTCCATTTGTTTCTGTGACCTGACATCATTAGTGTTGTTTGTCAGATCCAAAGCTTTAATTAAAGCCGAGCTATCAGGGACAATAATTAAACACAAAGAGAGAAGAAAGGAACGGGGAAAATAAGGCTGTCCTTCCTCTGGCTTCTTGTCAAAATAAAATCAATGGCGAGGATGTGATGAAGGCAGAAAGGCGGGAATGAGATAGCAAACAAAAGGTGTCAGGTTGTGTTATGGCGATGAAGCAAATTAATTAGTCTTTTCTAGTTGAAAGGCAGCAGAGATAGGTTTGAAACAACGCCGACAGAAGGAAGAACGGGACAGTGCAGAGTAGAAGGAAGTCAACAGACAGAGACAAAGAGATAGATCAAATTACATTACATTACATTGCATTTAGCTGACGCTTTTATCCAAAGCGACTTAGTGGTTAGGATTATTCCAGTTTTAAAAAACGTTGCTGATCTTAGTAGTTGTGTTTGGCAGTAAACCATCAGCTGTGAAATGAGTCTTGACTGACTCATCCGTCATGTTTGTAGAGCGGACTAAAACTCATGTCAGGTTAGCAGCCATGTCGTATCAGATATGCTGTTAATATGAGCTGCTGATACATGAGAGAAGTGCTACGTCACTGCCTTGCAAAATAATGTCTCCGCCCACTTTACGGTGAAAACTAAGAATCGGCGCCGACCGTAAAGGCTGCTGTGTCTTGGATTGCACGTCAAACAAATACAACGATCAAAAGGTATGATTTTCTTTGGGATGGTATAAATCTGTGGCTTCAGGCGGTCTTCAGAGAGGACGAAAAACGTAATCAATGGGAACCGTCAGTTGGAAACACTTCCATCACCGCTACATGATGCTATAATGAGGTCGATCGTCAAAGTAAATAGAAATGTATGAAGTCAAAGTAGTGAATGTAGATGCCCAGGAAATCCAAAGTGTGTTCGCCTGCTAATCGTCCACCGGTAGATTCCCATTTCGACTTATATCAACGCCAATCATCGATCTTCAGGGATGTTGTGTAATTGTTTATGTAGCTGACCATGGTATTTGGGCTTTTAGTAGATTACAAATTTGATTGGTGAAAACCAAATGACATAGAAAGAAAGTACCTGAATGTGGGTGTTGTTGCATTTTCTGAAATCTTCTTTAATACATTCCCTTAAAGCTTAGTGTGTACAACAATATGGAGGATGTTATACCAACATTAACATACAAGTTGTCTTCAAAGTGTGAGAAGAATCAGGATGAAACCTGAACTTGCTCCTGTGGGTATTGTCCACAGTACATGACCATTGCATGTATGATATGTGTAATGTGTATTTGTAAAGCGCTATAATAAATGTAAGGAATTATTATTATTATTAAAGACGGAGAATTATCAATATCCAAATAGTTGTTTGATAAATAATGAATTTCCCTTGCGTCTTTTCATCTAACCAAGACACGTGTGCTCTACTTCGCAGCGGTTCATCAGTGGAATAAATCTGCTTCAAAGCTGAAAACATGCAGTTACAACTGATTAATGGATGACTTTGATAATTATCAAGGTCAAAATGGTTCACGTTGGCAGTTGTTCCGCCGAGTTAAATAGCTTTTTTCTGTGGGTGTTACATTTTACACACCCACGGATGACAACAGCGCTGGGTCAAAGGCAAATTGAAGGCCTGTGGTGGAGGAATTGAATTGTCAATATCAATTTCATGGAACAATTTGAAGACAGGAGTGAGGGCTGCTCGGGGTGTGGTGCGGCAGGGAGGAGGAGGAGGAGGAGGAGGAGGAGGAGGAGGAGGAGGAGGAGGAGGAGGAGGAGGAGGAGGAGGAGGAGGAGGAGGAGGAGGAGGAGGAGGAGGAGGAGGAGGAGGAGATTAGGGAAGGGCCCCTTTGAGACGCGTCCAAAGTTGTCTTCCATTACTTCTGAGTAGATTGGGTTGAACCATGTCACAGCTCCGTTTCTTCTAGCAGGTTTTCTCTCCCAAGAAAACAGAATTGATTTGGAATAGAGAAAGAGAAAGTACTTAAAAAAGGTTTCACTCCTCAGTTGTTGTTTTTTGCCCTGTCATTCACGCTGTGGTAAGATAACTTTCCCCCAGGAGGGAATACCAACTTTGCAAACAAATTAAAAGAGTCGGAGCTGTTCTGATGAGGTATGTTATGCTGGATTAGAGTCTAATCCACGGTTAATCCCCCTGAGAAAGGTAAATAGCTTAATGTCAGTTAGCATCCTGTTAAAACATGCAAATTACAACAGCCCTCCTGTTTTCCACTTAACCCATCCCCCTCTTTTCACCCCTAAATAACTGCAGCTATTACACTTGTTATTGTTTCGTTATGTGCCTCCAAACTGAAATAATAGAACGGCAGGTAAACATTGAATGAAAAGCGGTGTTGCTTTCACAGTCTTGGCAATTTCCATTTGTATTGGTGCATCATATGCTAATATCGGAGCAGAGAAGCTGCAATCTGTTGTTTTCATAAGCATGAAAGCTTACACAACATAAAAACCCTGGTTCAATCTGAAAAGTCAAAATATATATTGCTCTGGGCTTTATTAAGGCTTAACGAAATAATGATGACAGTTAATGGATTTATTACTGGGGCGCATTACCTTGAAGGGATTGTGTAGCATGGGTATTAGATATGTATGGACTGTATTACAATGTTCTGCATGCTCTCAATCATTTAGTTAGTATCACTGTTAATGTTAATACTCTCCCCTCCCCTCTCTGTCTCCCCCTCCTCCTCCCCCTCTCTGTTATATAGGTGCTGTGCCTTTCGGAGAGGGAGTCTTTCCTCATCTGTTTGCAAGACGTACACTTGTCAGAGGCCATGAGTAGCAGCTGGGGTGACAGTCTCCAAAACCCTTTGACGTGGAACACCTAAAATGGGGACAGGACCTGCTGCCATGCTGCAAGCTCAGCTCTAATCACCGCGAAGACGCCCTTCAGTTCACCTTCCTCTCTACTTAGATTTGCCCCTGACCTGCAGCCCTTCCTGATTCAAAACTCGCCGCCTCCCTCCCTTCAACGCCTCTTTTTCCTCCTTTCTACTGAGGCGATATCACTCGATAACCCAAACCATGGCCAGCAGACAGCGCTTGTCCTCCCTGTTCCTCTCCCTCCTGCTCCCTGCACTGTTGCTCCTCCACATGCCGGCCTGGGTGAAAGGCGACTGCTGGCTCATAGAGGGGGATAAAGGCTACGTGTGGCTGGCTATCTGCAGTCAGAACCAGCCTCCTTACGAGACCATCCCCCAGCACATCAACAGCACGGTCAGTATCTATCTGCGGGCCTTTACACCACCAGCCACCTCTATTAAAACCTCCATGCACTCTGAGTTATCATGATGTCAGTAATTATGTCGTTGAAAATCTTAGGTCACAGGCTTCTCCAACAATGCAATAATACAGATAAGCAGACAATATTAACCAATATTAAAGTATATCATATTAAAAGTAATACAAAAAGAAAAATAGTTCTAAAAAAGTGAGAAAGTGCAATACGAGTCATTGGAATGATATATTAGATAATAGATAGATAATTACTAAGTAGCAGATGAATGTTATGAAATTGTTTCAGCAGTTCAGTTGTTTAACAGTCGTATTGCCTGCGGTGTAAGGGACACTTCTGCAGCAATGGAGAGTCAGGACTCAGAGAGACACGAGGAGAGTTTTGATGTCAAACACTGATATTTATTTACAAGTATCGGCCGGAGAAATTCACATCACAAGTCACAGCAGCCAGAGATTCTGACTGCCCTGGTGGGTTGCCACGTCAAATCTGACCAGTCTCTCTCTCGATAAACCTTTTAACTAGTTTACAGAGAGTTAATCCACATATTGGGGGATGGTGCGTAAACACTGGGTACACTGGAGATATCCCCCAACATCTGGAAATACTCAATCACCCTCTTAGGCTCTGTGACCGAGAGTTGACCGGTCATTAAACTGAGAATGAGTGCAGCAACACGAGTCAGGGTTGGTCGTAAATGTCAACAGGCAGAAGGGTTAAATATCTAGAAATATTCTTTGACATGCGGGATGAAGCTGTCTCTGTGACTGGTTGTTTCTGTCCGGATGCTGCGGTAACGCCTGTCAGACGGCAGCAGACTGCACAGTTTGTGGCTGGGGTGATGGGGGTCTTTGATAATCCTGAGGTGATAGTGGCTTTTGCAAAGCTGCGAGTAAATAAATGTTCTGTTGAGTCAGTGCCGGTGGATCCTGGTGATAACTATGACAGTGATGGTAATTTTCAAAGATGATATTCATGTGTCCAATGATAGAGACAAGACCAGCAACAATTGCTAGAGTGTTATCTGGCAGTGATTTCATAGCAAAGTCTTAATTGATTAGTTTGGGGAACAGAACATAAGAGTTTATTGCCAAGTAGGTTTAAACTTTAAAGCTTTGGTGCATACGTAACCACGGAGTAATAAAGGAGCAAATATATTACTTAAAATTCTTAACTGTAAACTGTTTTGGATTCATGTCCCTTAACGTCCATGCTTGGACAAGTTGAGTATGCTGATTCTATTTGGTTATGTATTAGCCTGCTTGTACATACTAGAGAGGAACTATCTCTGGTAGGAACACAGGGATGTTAGCCTTTGCAGACCATTAAAGGCGGGGTCGGTAAGAATGGAGAAACCAGCTCGAGTGCGCTAGAATTTGAAAATACACAGCCGGAACAAAGCTGCCACTTCCTCACAGAGCCCCTCCTCCAACACACACGAACGCGCACATGACCAATGAGGGCACGAGATAAGTTTGTGCCCAGATGGACGGCTGACAGGCAGGTAGGCCATCCAGTTACTTTAGCCGGCTCAAATGATTGGTCGTGCTTTTTACAGCGCCACGGCTTCCAGAGATGATATATTTTATGGATTTGTTGTCAAATCATATAAGATATTCATTGCTATCGGGATGTTAAGAGCATTCCATGGTTTCTCAAACTTACCTACCCCTCCTTAAAGTGCACAAAAACATCACACTACAGGAAAGGGAAATACCCACAAATCGGAATAGGGCCTCTTTAACAAGCAACTACATCCTGGGTTCAACATGTATCACTGCTTACTATCTCAGTTGGGATTCAGCTCCTTACAAACAGACGGCGATTAACTAAACACATTTTGACCAGATGTATAATTATGGAAATGCTTCATTAGAGAGCAAACCTGCATGTTTGGAGGTGTAAATGCTCTTGGCAGCTATTTCTGGCGAGGTTTTCCTCTATGGCTGCCAGGGGAGCGACGCATTAACTGAAATGAATCTGCTCTCTTGTGTCCTGTAGGTTCATGACCTGAGGCTGAATGAGAACAAACTTAAGGCTGTGCTCTTTACCTCCATGTACCGCTTCACAAACCTCACTGACCTCAATCTCACCAAGAACGAGATCAGCTACATAGAGGATGGAGCCTTCGCTGGACAGGCCAACCTACAGGTCAGCAGCCCAAACACAACTCTGTTTCTATGTGTTTGTTTGAAATTGGCCATTAGAGATTCATTGTCTTCATAATCCACCCTCATACATTTATAAAAACATAATTACATTATTTGTTTTCAGGTCTGTGTTAAATCCCTCGAAGTGTGTATTGAATGAATGAATGAAAACTTTATTACAGACTCAGGGTCCAGATAAAAGACAAGGCATTACATATAATAAATTACATACACATGTATTGTGTACACTAGTGTTTTATTCATTTATTGTTTTTTCTTTTGATTTTATTAACTTATTTGTATATTTTGTAATGGCTTGGTTTGCACCATTAATTTGATTTAATGTGTTCAAATAAGTAGGATTTAATACAGTAGGTTTAGGGAATCTAGTTGAGGTAGGAATATAATCTGAAACCATATAACCAACATCCATTTTGCCACAATCTTTTCATATGGTTGCTGTTGAAAACGTTCCAAGCTGTTTACTCAATAATAGGTTTAGTCCAGATAAAAGATATCAATAAACATCCACCAAATTATTAACACTAGATTGTTTTGTGTTTGGTTTTATTAAAAAGTGTAAAAGTCTACTCTGTCTTTGTGTCTCAGGTTCTTCAGCTGGGCTACAATAAGATGACTAACCTGACTGAGGGCATGCTGAGAGGTCTGGGTCGAATCCAATGCCTCTTCTTGCAACACAATCTTATTGAGGTCATCGCTAGCAATGCCTTCTGGGAGTGCCCCAGCCTCAGCAGCCTGGACTTATCTTCCAATAAGTTGGCTCGTCTTGACCCGTCTACATTCACGGTCCTCAACAGGCTGCAGGTGTGTGAACTGGCGGGAAACCCGTTCCACTGTAGCTGTGATCTTTTCACTTTCCTCACCTGGCTGGAGGCGTTCAACAATGTCACCCACACCTACGACCGCCTCCAGTGCGAAACGCCTCTGGAAATGAATGGTTATCCTCTTCTGAGTCCGCTGCCAGGGCACGGAAGAAATGCCCGTTACACTCTTTTATCCATGTGTCGCGATGGTGTAATAATTCCAGGGATGACCTCACAGACACCAGATCAAGATGGGTCAGGTATGGGTTTGGATAACCCAGATCAAGGTCTGTACCCCCAACCAACCATATCGTCCACTGATCTCCCTACCTATAACCATCAGATTTCCATGAAGGTTCAAACTGTCTCCATCTATAGCGCTTCTCTATTGATACAGATCCCACGACCATACAGTAAGATGTACATCCTTTCCCAGTACAACCAAAGCTTTGTTGCAGACGTCAAGCCCCTGAAATTTAAGAGGGAGATACTGACTTTGGAGAAACTGAAACCACACACAAACTACACTTACTGTGTGGCGTCTGCAAGCAAATCTCAGCGGTACAACCACACCTGTCTGTTCTTCACCACACGAGCTTTGGGGTCAGAGGACCCACAAGCCAATCCGTCCACAACTACCCACTACATCATGACCATCCTGGGATGTCTGTTTGGCATGGTCATTGTGCTTGGAGTAGTCTATTACTGTCTCAGGCGGCGACGCATCCTGGAGGAGAAGAAGAAAGCTATAAGCGTGAAGAAAACTATTTTGGAGATGAGGTACAGGACATTTTGTTTTCTGTCTGTGTGTTTATGGAAGTGTTAAGTGACCTTTTTTCCCTAAAGAATAAAGGTCAGAGAGGGGAGCCACCACACAGTGATTGCATCTAATATGTTAGCCAAACAGCATTGTGTGTCTCCTTGGTAAAATTGTTTGTCGTTAAGAGGTTCAGTTGTTTCTGGCTTTGTTTAGTTTTGAAAAGCCATTTTTTTCCTACCATAATCTTTATTGAAGCTTTAGGCCATTCTTATTTTTTATAATTTCTTGGAGCTTTAATTAAAACAGAAAGGATTCTGACGCTCCATGGCATCGCTGAAAGGACATAATAAATCTAATTAACTTTTGAAAAAAAAAAGTAATGGGTTCAACTTAATGTTGCAATCATGCTGTTTAGGATAATTTGTAAAATGATGTACAAAATATGAGTTGAGATAATGAATCTCTCATTCTTCAGGTATGGCCCGGAGGCGGCTGCTGCAGTGGCCAATGACCCGGGTGCGATGCAGCGTCTCCAGGAGCAAGCTCACCACCAGCACCACCATTCAGGTGGAGCAGGAGGCAAGCTGCCCCAGTCTGCCTCCTCTAGCACAGGCATGCTCCACGGATCAGCCAACACCAGTACTTCACGCCTCTCCACTTTGCCGCAGGTAGAAAAAATGGCCACTGCCTTTTCTGAGGCAATGGGCGGCAAGGGCAACTACATTGATGTGAGGACGGCGGGAATGGCAGTGGAAGGCAGGGAGGGAGGGATGGGAGCTGGAGGTGCAGTGATGGGAGGGGAAGCAGTCGTGGATATGCGAGGTGGGGCTGAGAATGGGACGGAGGCTGGGGAGGATTCGGATGATGATGGCCGTGGCTCAGCATCAGAGATCTCCACCATCGCCAAGGAGGTGGACAAGGTGAACCAGATCATCAACAACTGCATCGACGCCCTGAAGCTGGATACCTCTGCTTGTGTCGTAACCAGCGCTGACAACGCCAACTCCGTGTCCAACTCTCAGCCGCTAACTTGCATCGCATCCCTCCCTCGCAACCTCCTTCCTCTATCTCCGGGTCACCTTGGCGATCAGATCATGGCCTCCTCTCCAAAGGTGCATCCAAAGTCTCACCCCCAACCTCATCCTCAGCCTCACCCCCTGCAACATCCTCAGCAGCATCCTCAGTTACATCCTCAGTTACATCCCCCTCACCCGCCTTCCATGGCCCCAGTGCCCCTTGTCATGCCCCTGTCTGAGCGACCGGGCATAAGCGGTGGGGGTTTCCTTTCCCCTCCTTACCGTGACCCACCGCCAGCCAATGCAGTGCGGCCCCTTCAGAGGCAGTTGAGTTCTGACACTGCTGTGAAGAACCGTTGTAACCCTGCAGCGGGATCAATCAAGAGTAACAGGGTGTACAGTGTGGATATACCCGAGCAGCGCAGCGACCCTCCCAAGTACCCGATGGAAAAAGGAAGCCCTGCGGGTTGTGGTGGAGGGGGCGGAAATGGAGGAGGTGGCGGAGTAGGCGGCTGCAACGGAAATGGGATGGGAAACATCAATGGTGGTGGGGTGAGTGTGAATGGGGGTGGGATGGGGTGTAATAACGGGAACGGAGGTGGGGGTGCAGTGGTTGGCCCAGGACAGCAGCATCAGCATCAGCACCAGCACCACTTGGAGGTTCAGCCAGACTACCACAGCTCTGAGCACCGCCACTCCTTTCCTGCGCTCTACTACGAGGGCGGCAACGAATCACCCTTACCGGCCCAAAAGGCTTCATTCCTCAAGCCACTGGGCCGCACCAAGAGGGATGCCACAGCCACCTACTCCCAGCTCTCACCTTCCCGTCACCACAACTACAACTCTGGCTACTCCTCCAGTCCAGAGTATTCGTCTGAGAGCACACTGCGGATCTGGGAGCGATTCCGGCCTTACAAGAAGAGCCCCAGAGAGGAAGCATCCTATATAGCGGCAGGCCACGCCCTGCGTAAGAAGGTGCAGTTTGCCAAGGATGAGGACCTTCACGATATTTTGGACTACTGGAAGGGGGTTTCTGCCCAACAGAAGCTGTGAGCCAAGAAAGGAAAGTCGAATGTTCTAAGGGAGATTGTGAGGTTCGATGCCAACAGCAGACTTATAAAGGGGATCAGATGTTAATGTAGCAAGACAAAAGCGTATGGCACTCACTGAGGAATCCATTGAAATTGATAATTCCCCTGCTGGAGTTAAAGAGATATTCTCTCTGGGTGTTTAAAAAAATTCCATAATAATCCATTGACATTTTAAGAGGTTGTTTCTGAAATTGGTTATTTCCCGTACAATAGGCTGTTCACCAAACTACCTCATGCTGGGCACGTTGGTCCTCGCAGGCTTCCTTAGCCGGTCAAATCCCCACTAATGAGCAAGAAAAGGTGGTAACAAGCAAATGTTTTCTACCTCATAACTGGTACTTACTGTAGCTCGGCAATTTCACCCCCACCCACGTCCTAAACCCATCAAACCGCCATTTACAAAAGAATAATTCCAATGCACCGCCAACACCTGCTCTCCTATAGAAGCATCATTTAGGGAGACAATGAGAGACGGATGAGGAATTAGGTGCACTTGTTTTAGAGTAGCCTGAATCTTCCTCTTTGGGGGAGGACATTAAGTGATACTTATCGGGCTAATTGTTCTTCCTCGTAATTAACCATTGTAAGGATAGGTCGAGGAGGGGATGTGTTGAGCATGCTTATCGATTCGAAACACCTCACTACATATGTTCACCGGTGTGTGGGCATGTATAAAGTTGGTGCATGCTGGTGAGAGTGATTGTGTGGGTGGGAGGTTACAGTGCGGGCAGAGTCTTCTCTTATTCTCAGTCCTGTCTATGGTAGCAAAATGAATAGCTTAGTGGAGATGCTTTGCATTTAGATGTGTGTGTGTGTGTGTGTGTGTGCGTGCGTGCGTGCATGTCTGTCTATCTAGATAGTGTAAAGTAAACCTCTCTTGGCCCATTTCGTATTTACTGTTGTAGCATATTTCATTTGAGCTATAAGGTAAAACATTCACATTTCAAAAGTGCAAGTCATGCGGTTTGGTTGTGGAGGTGTTGGCTCCTATATTAAAGAACCCTGTAATCACATTTAGGGAAGATGGACAGCAGGTTAGAGGTTTTGCTGCATCTCATTTTGAACCTGCCAGCGTTGGAGAGGAGATAGGGTGTTGTATCAGCTCGAGGCAAGGCTGCTTACAAACTTAAATGATGTCAAATGCTCCCTGCACTACACACTGAGATACAATAGATGGTAAGTGGAGTGAAGGCCCGAGGGAAGTACTTGGCCCCAGACTGGATGACTCGCCACTTTCTTTATATGACCCGCTTGCTCTGGGTGGGAACCTGCTATGGACCAAAGTGCCATTTGGAGGTACAGTATGATTTTACAAGTTTGTTATATTCATTAATTGATTTGTTTTCTTCTGTATGGAACCAAGAACATAACTCTTGGTTCATTATTTCATATTTGGGTTTGACTTTCTTGGTGTTACAATGAAATCTGTTAAAACAAATAGGAGCAAGGCTTGGTAATGACAACAACACAACCAGGAGGCTTGATGGATGTTGTTCTCATTTGCATTCATGAGCATTTTAGTACACAAGAGGCACAGATGCTTACCAGACAAGTGCTTCAGATAATCAAAATGGAAGTACTTGCCATTCATGTGTTGATCTTATTGCATTCCCTCTTGATCAACACAAATGCTATCAGAATATACACTTCAGCAGGCTGTCTTTTCATATTCCTATTCTCACCCTGACCTCTTTCTCTGATGTGACACATCTCAATTGAATATGTATAAATTATCTTTTAAATATCTAATGAATTCATTCACCTCCATGTTTTCCCCCTACCCGCAACCTCTGTCCAACTTAATGGGGTACATTAATGAGTCATTTGCGGAGGTTGATGTCGTACTATCGTCTGAGGTCAGAAGGGCATGCTGATATTATTAACTCTGCCAGACTGGGATCCTGATTGAAATTAATGACGGCTGCCTTCGTTGGTTTATCTGTCTTTCTGTCCTTGCCTACCGCATCAGATGTTTAACCATGGTCCACCGTTTTCTGTTGCCTGTAACTCTTGCAGACAGGAATTACCCTGAGTCTGAAAAACTAAGGTCAGATGTATGCTTCACGATGACTCTGCAGGTTACGATTAGGCCAAGGTCAGCTAGTGTTTGGATCTAACCTCCTGGGTGTTATTCCCATTTGAGTCAGATTGGCCTGGAAGTGATGCATTTCTATTAGATTTTCCACTGGATGATATCATCGTGTCGACAGGGCTTGAGTTTACCCGCTGTTCGAGGTGTACGTTTGACGAGGAAAGGGAAAGCAGAAGGTGGCATCTCCTCTTTGACCGATACAGGTCTCTGTCTACAGAATGGAGCTCTACAAAGAAGGTCAGGTGATACATCTGTTGTGAAGTAGCAGAAGAGGATTATGCTCATGTGTATACACATTTCAATGTTAGCATGAGAGTAGAAAGTAGTCCTAGCAACAACTGTGTAACCAGGTATTGTTGTATTGCATTGGAAGAAACATCAGAACCCTAGCAAACAAAAGCACATTTGAACCTTGAGGGGTAAATGAGAAAACATGTCATCATTTGATGAACAAACCATATTAACATGCTTTGATTTTGTACATATTGTTCATCCTGAGTTTGACCTCTCTATATCATCTGTGGCAGCCAATCCAATAGCCCCACTAGCGCTCACAATGGATGGGAAAGGCGCGTCATTACTCCATCAGATCAATAGAACCTAATGTTGGCGGGCGGGAGCAAATAAAAAAACACAGAGGAAATTCCCTTTTTTATGAAGAGCCCAGTTTTTTTTTTTCGTTTGTCCCATTTTTCATAATCCTCTGGCAGCTCCCCTACGTGTTAGGTCCAAGGAATAACCAATCAATTAGTTTTAAATTAGTACCACAGGCTGCGGGGTTTAGAAATAATGGCTTGATTTGGAAGAATGAGGGAAGAAAGCTGAGGTTACCTACATATACCCTCTAGGGTTTCCCTTAGATGTGAGGAATAACATTATCTCCATGATTGTCAACATTTGCCCAATCATTCAGTTTGTGTGTGTTTTATCTACGCTTTAATTTATTTCACTTCTACATTACAATTCTGTTTGAACACTGAGCCAAGCCTTGCTCCTCTTCCACCTTTAAAGTCTTTTCTTAACTATGTAATCATCTAGAGAAGTGTTTGATATTTCTCACTTACCATGACGGGTGTCTGACTCCATTCCTCAGGGGCCAGAGTCCACAAATTGAGACTGACAGATGTACGGATACTGTACCTGAGGGATTGTGTGTGTCTTCTCTCCAGTCTGGCCAATTAACAACAATGATAAACCAATGTGATGGATATTTCTGACAGTCTCAGGCTTCCAGAGGAAAGCGTACCAGGAAACAATGGAGATGTCACAACTTGTGGCGGTCTCTGAGGAATAGATTCAACCCGTTCTGTGCTGAGTCCCAGAGGTACTGGTAATCAGGCATGGTGTCTGCTCTGAGCTCAACAATAAACCCACTCATTGGGGCTGTTGTTTTCCCAAGACGAGGTCACAGAGAGAATAAGAGCTCGAGTCAACATTATGGTGTTTGTGATCAACGGGTACTTTCTGCTTTATTTATCTAAGACTTAGTGGAATGACTTTCTATACTCCTCAAACTAATTTGTGTGTTCTTTACCCTGGTGTAGACAATATTGCTGGCTGCCTCGGGGACTCATTGCAACCAAGTTTGGTTTCTCATTTCAAGTTTATTGGAAAACAAATTAATAGTCTTGGAAAATCATAGAACAACCCTCTCGAATGCCTCCTTGTAGAGATGTATTTGCACCTCATACCAACCTGTATACTTGCAATGGTTCCCTGGGAATAGCAGTAAGACCTCTTTGCGCTTGTTTAAATTAACTTTTGGATCTGTACAATAGGGTCTGCAGTGGAAACACGGACTTTGTGTTAATGCTGTAAACATTAACGCATCGTGCAGACAGAGGCTGGCTTCATACTTGCAGGAGTACACCCAGAAGCATTCCTCTACACATCTCCTTTTGCCCCTTTACCATTATCAAGTTAATGGTACAATACACCCGGGCTGTGAACATAACTTTTTGAAACTCCTCTTGGACTTTAATATCGGTACAACAAATGGGAGTCTGGGGACAGAAGTTATGCGATACAGGAAATCAAACAAATTGTCCCTAGGATTTTAATCTCCAACTTTGCCCGGTACCTTTATATCTCCTTACAAAGTTGTGCATTCTGCAAACAGAATAATATATTTATGTTGTTAACTTGTAAGATATATACCTTTTTACATCAGATACATTTCAGAAGCTGCAATTTGAAGATTTTAAGTATTTTTGCGCTATAGTGTGACAGGGTTGGACAGTCCTGCTTTCCACTATAGGCCAGACAGATCAAGCCAGGGCGTCTTTCCAAACTCTCGCTGCTCTAGGAGAAGAGTTGATGTATTTTAATTACACAGGTTACTTTTGTCAGATGCCTTACAAACACAATGATCGGTCAGCTGCTGAACAAGTCAAACAAATATGTATTCAGAAATGTTCTTTGAAGATAAACTTGTCTTTCGGTGTTGAGAATATTGGTGTGCAGAGCCATGTCTTCTTCATTGCACTGTACATCGTGGCCCCGGTCTAAATCCCCTTGATGATTCGTCTAACAAAGAATGGGCAGACTTGGAGAAAGTACCATTGAAAGGCTCAGTTCAGAGCACAAGCATCACCCTTCAAGAAGCACAGGGAACCAATGAGCAAGGCATCATTAAGGAGAAGGTGGTTCAATGTAATCAAACAGACAACCCGTCTGGGGTTACCTGGCCTATCACTCTGTCTGCATTCATGTCATGTCAAGTAATGACCATAACCCTACTTCTGCCAAGGAGTCTGTGTTTCCAATTTCAATTCCTTTTGTTTGACTATTAATAAGTTAGATAAGTCAAAAACATTCAAAACGTTTTGACTTAATAGCCCACGTTCATTTTGTATGTATGTTGCTGGACATTCAAAGACATGTAGTTTCGGCTTTCTTATCTACTAATCTGGAAACCATCAAAAAGAGATTAACGCAAACTAATCACATTAACAAGTGTGATTATGACTTCCTCCCGTGATTCAAGCATTGATGTTTACCATGAATTGCACGGCAGTAAGAAGGAACTACCACCACATCTTGATTACAGAGAATACGTGTTTTAATCGTAAACACCACTACTATAATTATAACATTTACCTTGGCAGATGGTAGCACTTTCTGAGTACTTTCTACTCTTTAATAGATTGTGACCACGCAGTTGCTATGGCTCTGCCTGAAGGAATTACCTTGAAAGATGCTCTGCCCTTGAGTGACTTGTTTCTGTCGAACCGGAGGCTTCACAGCGAATCCATCCACTCTCCGATAAGACCGGCTTAGGTGACCTTGGCCCTGGCTAGTTCAACTGGCTCTAAAGAGGAAGCAGGACTGTGGCTAAACCGCAAACAACACTGTCTGTCTGCTGTTGAGGTTGGGACGGTGATTTGTCGGTTTATTTGCGGGGTGACCTGATCTGTTGATCCTTTGACTCAATCTCACGACCAAGACTGAGGAAGGGAGTCCCCTTTATGAATTCTACATACAACAAAAGTGGAGGAGTTTCTACCGGAGGTCAACTGTGACACACACACACACACACGACAAACGCACAGACACTAATGTAGAGAACCAATGAATATACTGTACGTGTTTGAATAGATTAGAGTTACACTATATGGACTTGAAATGTGAGAAGACATACAACATATACCTTCCTACACAAAACAAAGTATACATTACACACACACTTACAAACACATTCGCACACACACAAAACATGCCATATTCACACCTGCCCACACAAAATATGGACTGAATATTTCTATCCACGTTTACAGACACAAACATTCTTAAAAAGTGCCAAACGGCGAGTTTTATGTGCAGGCGGAGTGGAACCAAACATCTGTAAAAAGGAACTTTACAGGCCTGTAAAAGTGTATTTACTTCTTTGTATAATTTATGCATTACTTTTCTCAACTTGTTTTACTTGTAGTGTTATTGTTCTCATGATCTGTTATAATCTGTGAATGTTAGAATGAACTTTGCTTATTGTGAATGTCATATTTAAAGTTCTCGTGGTTTCTTCTGATCTGTCTGACTTTAAAGTGATCTTAAATTGTGTATACGTTTTGTTAAATTACACATTACAACAACTCAAAGAAGCCATTTGCCTTGCAGACACCTCCCTATATTAAATTAGAAAACAAAAATGTAAATGAATACCAAATAATACAACAGTATGGTTTGTGTACAATTGAATATATGGGATTTTATTTTTTTGGTAAACCAAGGTTTTTTTTGGTCGTGCTAGATTCTGTTTTTCTTCAGGCAATTCCACACACACACACACACACACACACACACACACTCACCCTGAGAGGTGTGTTGAGGGGCTGATAAATGCCTGTCACGGCTGGCCTTTCAAGGACCTTGTTTTTCAGGGAAGGCAGAGAAACAGCAGGAGAGTTTGAGAGTGTCCTTTTGGAAGATTGAACCGGCTCTGCTGTAAGACTTTTCTTTAAAGTATTATCCTTTGCATTTATATGTGTGTTCGTATGTTTTATCTGCTTCCAAATAACCCCGTTGTGTCAGACAGTGCAGCTCAGCACGAGTGCGTCCTCAACGAGTATGAGCAACATTCATATTGCTTTGAGTGTTTGTGAGTTTGAGGGGTTTTGATATGAAGGTTCATTTTGTCGCTAGAGTGATGGCCGAGGCCAGGTACCTGAAGCATTTTCAATTCATCTGTCTTTCAGTCTGCATTACATTTAGCTGACGCTTTTATCCAAAGCGACTTACAATAAGTACATTCGACCAGGAAGACACAACCTTGAAGAAAACAGAATCATATAAGTGCATCAGGTTTCATAGAGCCAAACATTTCAAGTGCTACTCAACTGGCTTTAGATAAGCCAGCCCTTTATTAGTATATAAGTGCTTTGTTAGCAGTTCTTTGTTAGTAATTCTATCGCTGGAAGTGGAATTACCTTCAAAGTCTGCAGGGTACTCCAATGAGGCTGTGCTCATTCACCTGCTTGCTGTGTCACACACACACACTCAGCATTAATTGCATGCTGCCAATTTCATACACACACTCGTTGGCACATTTGCACTCAGACTGCCATCAACACAAACACTGATAGTAATTACACACTGGCATGCTTGCTCACACTGTTCACTGACAGGAATATTATCCTACACCATAATGTCAAACCTACCCATGCATGCACCACCTCCCTCACACCATGTCCTCCCTTCATCCTCCTGGTTGAGTGAATTTCCTTTTTCTGTAAAGCTTTTACTCCTGACCCTCTTGCTCCTCCGTTGCCTGATTAGCATTAGCACAGCAGGTTAGCTTGCACTCTGACAACTAGAGTGGTGTTCTAATTCCCCAAACTCCTGCCCTGCAGAGGTAAGATGGTGGTCTGACAGACCCCACACACACACCTGGGTTAAGTAAAGGGGAGACTTTGATTTTTGACTTTTCAACCCCTGGTATCTCAGGGATTCAATCGCAGGTGTTGCTGACTTTTGGTTCAGTGAGTCGAAAGAGAATAGGTAGAGTGGAGCGGAGGGAAAGAGACTGGAGGACAAACAGTAAAGAAATTGAGGTGAGACAACAGAGGAACACTGATACATAAAGTGGGTTGAGAGACGCTTATCTGGTGCATGTCCACAAAGTGAAAGTTAGAATCTTGTTGTTTGTGGAACTTGATGCTCCATCATCTTAGTCTCTGAATGCTACTTCCATTTGTGTGATCTAGTTGAGAGGAACAATTGAATAAAGCATGTCTGCAGTAGGCTACAGAGTCAAACGTATCCTTGAGCAAGGCACTGAAGCTGAAACCTCTCTGACGCACCTGAACATTGGTCTGACTGTGGCTCCGATGCATCACTTACAAAAACCACATGCATGTAAAGCCCTATTTGTACAGGACTAGTTGTTGTTGTGTTATTACCAAGTTGTGTTGGAACGTAATACCTATTAAATCAGCCATGTAATGATTCCTATGCTCGTCACCCACCATGCTTAGACAGACACTGAGGTGATGTGAAATTAGTCCCGTTTTAAATCGATATCTAGAGGTCTGGGGTTTTGTTCTTTGTCGAGAATTCTAAACCCATTTTGACAGATTTTGGGTGCAAAATCAGGAGGCACATTTTAATAATTAAAAGCATAGAGACCCATTCACAAGAGGTCTTTGTGATCATTATGGATACATAAATAAGCCACTATTTATTTATGATATATATAAAAAAAGTATATGTTACAAGGTTTTGACATATTTCCAGAGATATCATAAGTAAATACAGACATGTGCATAACGGGAAACAGACATCCCATGAGGTCCTTTGTGTGACTTGGTGGTATTCAATTAAGGCCATTTAGCTATTGACTTAACTGGCACCATAAGAACATTAAAGTAAAATGTGGCTGCTACTCCTTTAAGCTCCAACAATTCTGATTTCTGTCCCCTGGCAGTTATGTAAGACATCATTAGTGAGACTCTGTGTGACCTGTAGTTTTATCTTAGCTGCAGAGGGTGCTCCCAAATGTCATTTTGAAAGATGATCCATTTTGGGTACTGTCAACATGGATCAGCTGTTAATTATGTTTTACAGGAGTATATTCATATAATTAAAAACACGTTTGAATTGGGTATCAGCACTCATTAGAGTCAGTGAATCACAATGTATGAAATCTAGAGTCAGGGAATTTTCAAATATGGAAACTTTCCATGGGAATAAACTGGGAATTTTCTAAATTGAAGGTTGGCTCTTCATAGGGAACTTAAATATAGTTGAAAAGTATATTTTAGTGTACACTTGAATATCCATGCCATAGCACACTGCTCACTGCATGGCTATTGAGACCACACCCCCTACAGGCACTGTGCATTCCTCCATCACATGCACAGATGAGTAATATTTAACTCAACATTCCAGTTTTTGTTCTTCAATGAAACAAATAATTGTTCAATAAAATAATTAAAACTTGTTCTGTTCTAAAAAAAATCTGTTGAAATGTCATGTTTTTTGTTTAATTTTGCATCGAATATTTCCAAAATTCCCCAGCTTAACTTCCCATGGAAACTTTCCGCCCCTTTGCAACCCTAATGAAATCCCATAACGCAGGCTTTAACGTCCCGTCTTTGGCTTCTTTGTTATATGTTCTGGGTAAAACAATAGAGACGTCAGAATCCCAGCCAAATCCCCATTAGCTAGAGAGGTATCCAAGTGGTGTAAACTTCAGACATCCCAAAAGACAGTACTTTCTAATTGTCTGACAACACCGGAGTCATTAAGTCCCGGCAGAACGTAGAATTAGCAATGGTGTAAAACAGCAACAGTACACCGCCCCTTATTCCTTCAGCATCACTTAAAGAACAATTGCTTTGGCAAATGACTAACTCTGGAACATGATTTGAGGGAAATGCGTTCCCGCGGGCGAACAGACGCTGCAAATTGAATAACAGGGAGGGCGGTGGAACGCAGATGTAAACCGGGAAGATTTCTGGAACTAGAAAAGCTTATGAGATGTCAGGGAGTTGTGCAGCAGATATGAATGTCTTTCGTGATTTGTGCTGATATACCTGGAGTCTGTAGCTTTGATTGAATCACATCTGTCTCTCTTTCCTGATTTATATCCGTTGGAAATTCCCTTCTTTTCACAGAATAACTTTTACATGCGTCACAGAAATTGCCTACAGGTATTCATCCGTTACTCAAGATGTGTAGGTGGAAGCAGCAATGAAAATGCTCAGAGGAGGAGTTTTGAGTGAGCTTTACTCAAAATGTGCTGCAATATGTGATATTTTCCATTTCCTAGAAGCTTAATGAAAATACTGTGTTATCATCAATCACTGCTATGTGATGAGCTGGGTTTGAAATACATTATCTCTGTAATGTTGGTACCATATAGCATAGGTATGGTGGCCAAACACATTTCCATTAGGAGAAATGCGGAGACAAAAACAATGCAAATATAAAGAGAAAATGTTGCCAAAACACATGAAGAATCATCTTAAACAACTTGACAACACATGCAGCATTTAGAGAACATTCAGCAACTTGAGGAGACATGCGCAGCGTTTACTAAAAGCTGCAGAACCAAACGGTGCAAGAAGCTCAAAACACAACGGAGACCAGGGGACACTATAGAGTGACGCACACAGCTGGGAGACCAGGGGACACTATAGAGTGACACACACAGCTGGGAGACCAGGGGACACCAAAGAGTGACGCACACAGCTGGGAGACCAGGGGACGCTAAAGAGTGACGCACACAGCTGGGAGACCAGGGGACGCTAAAGAGTGACGCACACAGCTGGGAGACCAGGGGACACTATAGAGTGACGCACACAGCTGGGAGACCAGGGGACACTATAGAGTGACGCACACAGCTGGGAGACCAGGGGACACTATAGAGTGACACACACAGCTGGGAGACCAGGGGACACTATAGAGTGACGCACACAGCTGGGAGACCAGGGGACGCTAAAGAGTGACGCACACAGCTGGGAGACCAGGGGACGCTAAAGAGTGACGCACACAGCTGGGAGACCAGGGGACACTAAAGAGTGACGCACACAGCTGGGAGACCAGGGGACACTATAGAGTGACACACACAGCTGGGAGACCAGGGGACACTATAGAGTGACACACACAGCTGGGAGACCACGGGACACTATAGAGTGACGCACACAGCTGGGAGACCAGGGGACACTATAGAGTGACGCACACAGCTGGGAGACCAGGGGACGCTAAAGAGTGACGCACACAGCTGGGAGACCAGGGGACACTAAAGAGTGACGCACACAGCTGGGAGACCAGGGCTGCTTCTCAGGTCGATTAAATTAAATCCTTGCTTCCCTCACTTGCGTCGTTTCCCTGCGTCTAGTCCCTCCCTCCGGGGAAGCATGGAGGGACGCAAGGAAACCACGAAAAGCAGGGAAATGAGTTTTAAGAGCAATGGGACGTCCTTTCCTCCGGAGCGTCACGTGAAGCGACGTCCGTTTGTGATGACGCTGCACAGCTGATCGTCTGACAGCAGCTCTGCCCCCGTTATTTCCACACACCCCCCCCCCGCCTCTGTTAGTACACATTTACTGACACAAACATGTGTATCATCTGTTGTAGACCCAAATAAATAAAATAAAATAAGAACTAATTCTCAAAAAAGATAAACGCCATTCTTAAAATGTATAAACGAACAATAGTTTGATTAATATTGATTAGAGTACACAATAGAAATAAAAATAATTGAGAGAAGAAAAAGAGATATGTTATCTATCAAAACCCAGTTAGATTAACAGTCATTGGATTGCACACTTTCTTTGTTTGTGTGGATATGTAGTAAATTAACATTTCAATAGCACGTAATGAATGACTGAATGGAAATGACAATAAATGAAAATGTAAAACGAAAAAAGCGATCATGAAAATGTTTCCAAAAAATGAATTAAATGATTTTTGACCACTTTGTTGTTCAGATATATCACATATTTGTAACTAAATGATACATGAATTGAAACAAAACACGGTATAAACTGAGGAGTGACTCCCGTGAGGTTCATGTGTTTTCTTCACTCTGCTCTCATGTCAAGAAGCATCAGATCAGTGCATGCACTGCCTCGTCCAATCAGTGAGCGATACACAGTAAGGGGGCGGGGCGAGTATCTGAGGATTTTATCGGAGGATGGTCTGGTGGTTCCTCGGTTATCGCTCCTCACTCCTCGATCCTCCGGCAGAAATAAGACCCATGGGACGGTACTCAAGATGGCGCAGGCAAATCAACTTCCGGTGAGACCGAGGAGCGAGGAAATGAAAATAGTCGACCTGAGAAGCAGCCCAGGGGACACTAAAGAGTGATGCATACAGCTGGGAGACCAGGGGACACTAAAAAGTGACGCACACAGCTGAGAGACCAGGGGACACTAAAGAGTGCCGCACACAGCTGGGAGACCAGGGGACACTATAGAGTGACGCACACAGCTGGGAGACCAGGGGACACTAAAGAGTGAGACCAGGGGACACTAAAAAGTGACGCACACAGCTGGGAGACCAGGGGACACTAAAGAGTGACGCACACAGCTGGGAGACCAGGGGACACTATAGAGTGACGCACACAGCTGGGAGACCAGGGGACACTAAAGAGTGACGCGCACAGCTGGGAGACCAGGGGACACTAAAAAGTGACGCACACAGAAGGGAGACCAGGGGACACTAAAAAGTGACGCACACAGCTGGAACTGAGCGCTTGGTGACGTTCAGGATTATAAAGCTGGACAACTGTCTCTGTTGCTGGAAACTTACCCACATTTTGTTTTACAGCTTATTTGAACAAAGTAATCACATGATATGTTTTGCAGATCTCCCGTCAGCTAGCTAGCTAACAAAGCTAACATAGTCATTTCAAAACACTCACTGTTATGAGACTCTGCCAAAAGTGACTATGGCCAACTTTTGTTTATGCAGCGTTTTTGGTAAACGCTGGGCAACTAAATCGATTTTCATTGAAGTTAAAAGTAGTGCATTTTGCCTTTACTGAGATAAACATTTTAAGCAAAATCCCTCCTGGCCATGTGTTGTCAAGTTGGTGAAGATGTTTCTTTATTTTCATGTGTTTTTATATCTGAATCATTATCTAAACTTCAGCGTTGTGGGCCTCGTGGAGACGGTAGTGCGCCTGTTGGCCACCGTATGTAAGCGCGTTTCCAGTGTGATCTACTGCCTGGCTTGTTTTTCGGTTCAGTTTTGCTCTTATGAAAGTGGCTTTTATTTCGGGCAAGAAGACCCATCTCGGTTATGAAATGCTGAACAAAATGGCCCTTTAAAAGAGGTCTATTCTCTTGGATGATATACCTCAACTATGACATTTAGTATTTTACAGTTAATCCTTTGAAAGTTATTTGTTTTTTCTCACTCCTCTGCAGCTTAAACTATCAAATATGTTGATTATACCAGAGCAGTGCATTGTAATGTCTCGCTGTGGTCCCCCTGTTGCCCGGCAATCGATTACAGGCAGCAGCAGTTGTTGCCGGGGGCGACAGGCGGAACAGTCAAGGTTGCTAGGTAGCAGATAAGAACACAGGAGCTCATTAATTGCCTTCTGCAGAGAAAGTACAGCATGGTGGGAACTGCAGCGGGATGCAGACAGTGTGTGTGTGTGTGTGTGTGTGTGTGTGTGTATACCCAGAGGCAAACACACACACACACACACACACACACACGTCTAATAATTTAATGACCTTTCCACACCAGCATCTATCAATCTGACAACATGAGAGGAAGGAAGAGAGTGAGAGACAGGACACGTAGAAAGATTGAAAAATAATGGAAATCCATAAGAGGAAAAAACTACATTGATTTTCATTGAAGTTACAAGTAGTGCATCTACTGGGGTAAACATGTTAAGCAAAAGCACTCCTTAGACATCATATTATCAGACACACAATACAAATAATCTGTCGTTGTTACAAACACGATGCTTTAACTAAAGTCTGTGCTACAGTAGGAATATCTGATGTGAGATTTCCCGCCTGTCTGGAGTCAACCTTTCTGGACAGCCGTGAACATGTCAGAAGCTCAAAGAGGTAAACATCAAACGTCTCCTGCCCCGAGGATTCCTGTCTTATTGAAATCTGTTTCCGTGCGATGAAATGGGAACATCATTATTGTTACTGTTGAAGCTTAATGCGGAAGATTTTCCATAACATTGCAGCCTGTAGGCACTGATGTCGAACACATCAGCCGCGGTCAGACACGAACTGCATGCTTCTCCGACAGCCCAGCTTTCAATCGTTTCAT